AAGGGACGATGGACGGGGCCATGTACTGTCAAATCTTGGGTGAGAACCTCCTTCCCTCAGCCAGGATGTTGAAAATGGGTTGTGGATGTGTATTCCAGCATGACAATTATCCAAAACACACGGCCAAGGCAACAAAGGAGTGGCTCAAGAAGAAGCACATTAAGGTCCTGGAGTGGCCTAGCCAGTCTCCAGACCTTAATCCCATAGAAAATCTGTGGAGGGAGCTGAAGGTTCGAGTTACCAAACGTCAGCCTCGAAACCTTAATGACTTGGAGAAGATCTGCAAAGAGGAGTTGGACAAAATCCCTCCTGAGATGTGTGCAAACCTGGTGGCCAACTACAAGAAACGTTTGACCTCTGTGATTGCCAACAAGGGTTTTGCCACCAAGTACTAAGTCATGTTTTGCAGAGGGGTCAAATACTTATTTCCCTCATTAAAATGCAAATCAATTTATAACATTTTTGACATGCGTTTTTCTGGATTTTTTTGTTGTTATTCTGTCTCTCACTGTTCAAATAAACCTACCATTAAAATTATAGACTGATCATGTCTTTGTCAGTGGGCAAACGTACAAAATCAACAGGGGATCAAATACTTTTTTCCCTCACTGTATTGGCCAAATAGGGAAGCACCTAATTGCCACGACACACCTGGTTCAGCTTGTTATATCTCTGCCAGGTGGCAAGGAGTCAACTTTGGCTGTGTTTAGGCAGGCAGCCTGATATATCTGAGATTTTTTCACTAATAGGTCTTTATTTAATTTTTACTTTACCCCCTTTTTCTGATATCCAATGTTACTTACAAGCCAGAATGTTGAATAAAATTACATTTAAACTTTACCGGTTGTCTGTGCAGTTTGTCCTTCTGCTGCTTGAAATTTTAAACAAAATATCCACAGGACAGTATTGTTTACGTGAGTTTTTAGAGAGCCGGTAGGTATATATGGCGGGCACCGAGGTAAAGTTAGTTTTATATTGGACATTTGGTTTTCTCTCGTCAATAGCTATTGAACCAAGCATGCCATGAAAATTGTATATTCTGAATTCGTAGAGAATGGAGAACATTCCACACTTCTTTTTAAAGACTGAAATCCAATTGTCCAATATCAACTAACTTTACCTCGGTGCCGAACCAAACCATATACCTACCCACTCAATAAAAAGTTTGGTAAAAAATTTTTTCCAGTAGATATTTTGTCTAAAATTTCAAGCAGTAGGACAAACTTCACAAACAACCAGTAGAGTAAGTTTACATGTCATTTTATTCAACAGTCTGGCTTGTAAGGAACCAATGTCTCAGGCTGTATATACACACCAAATCATTGTGTATTACAGCCTGATTAAATCAGACTACAGCCAGCCTAGCATGCTGACCAAAAAGGCAGTTTAAAGGCCCAGTGCAGTCAAACGTGATTTCCTTGCGTTTTATATATTTCCACACTGGAGGTTGGAATAATATTGTGAAATTAAAAAAATGATAATGCCATTTTAGTGTAAGAGCTGTTTTTGTAAGACTGACTGAAATGTAAGCCTGTTTTGGCGGGGTGGGGTTTGTGTCTGCCAGGTCGGTAAAACTAGTTAATACACCAATAAGAAAGAGTTTTCCCCTCCCCACTCAGACCACTGCCAGTCCTAGCAAAACTCTTGCTTGAGAAATTGCTGTTTGCTAAGAAGCATTTATTTTTAATTGAAAACAAATCGCAGTAAGGTACTTAATTGTTACCAGAAATGATTGGCTATTGAGATAAAAATAGCTGCATTGGACCTTTAATTAAAAACTAGCAGTATTTCAAATTTCTAATTATATCATTAACCCAGCAGCGAACGACACCTTCCATCCCTGGAATGAGGTACGTTTTCAAGCCATATCCCTGGTTCGTCACAGCGGTGCAAATATTACTGGCTGCTTTTCAGCTTGAGAAGGTACTGAACTTCAAGTCGAGTTTTTGAGTTTTGGCGATCTCTGTCGAAACCTGGGGTTTCATGCATTTCAAGCACTAACATTTCATACAAATAAGCCAGGAAACTCAATTGCTTCCTATATTTATTGCAATGATAAGATACAGATATAAAATTAAATTATATTCCCATATTGCAAGAGACAGTCACTCTGATATGGATCCAAATATGGACAACTAAATGAATAAAGACATTTGACCAGATAGAATATGTATTTTGATGGGGAAAAGCAGCATAGATTAATACTACAATATACAGACTTTGCACGAAGAACACTAAGCACAATGAGATTTTCAAGAAATAGCCTAGTTCTGCCAAAATTCATAATACAGCTACTGGCACCTCGCTCTCCAGAAGACATCAGGAAACAGAAGAGCAATGAAAACAAACATACTTAGAAAAAGACCAAAACCTACAGACGGCAGTGGTTAGTAGTACACGTCCTGTGGAAGAGGTACATGCTGTTGAGAAGAGCTCAGGGAAACACGTCGATGGAGAAACTAGCTGGAGGCCTAAAAATCTGAGGTCAACATGCTCTTAGAATAGGAAAGCAAGACCGAGCTTGTACCCTTTTCACACTACTGAGCCTGAACAGAACTGTACTGCACCTGCCTGGTTCCACATCCAGCATAGTTCCAGGAACCAGCCAGCACTACAGTATGAGTGTCTCGAAAATACTCCTCAGTTCACTACATTGGGTCTATCTGTGTACGGTGTGGGATATCAAAGTCATCAAGTGACTTTTTTCCCCCTTGCTCTCACAAGTTGTGCTCTACCGTTCCACTGTGGGGAGAACTTCCCACCCAGAACATTTTGGGTGGAACAGCTATATAAATGTTATGCAAGCCACTGCCAACGAGTTTCTCAACCACTAGTTAATCATTCACTGTTTTTACGTGAAGAAACAAAAGTGATTATGGGGCTTGCAGTAAGTTGCCACATGGACAAACTAGCTACATACATTACTCTTCACACATTCAAAGAAATGACGGTGTAAAATCAATCAATATAAAATAAAACAAAATTAGGTAGCCCATCTGATCATATTATATATCCACACATAACATAATCCACATTTCTGGTGTTTGAAGTCCCCAATAATGAGTACAGTACACTCTTGACAATATGCCTATTGGAGGTCAAAATTATAGTTTAAAAAGGTGTAATAATAAAAAAATACATTATGATGAAAAGATACCAGAAACCTAAAAACTAAAAAAGAGTTTGGTTCAGGTTGAACAAAGTGGGTTCATAATTTCTCAGACGAAGTTTGTATATGTATGTATGTATATGATATATCGATAGTATACATATAAATTATACATTTATCTATTTTATCCTCACTATGAGTAAAAAATGTGACCTTACAAATGGACAGTCTTGGACCACAGCCCACATAATGCAACAATAGAGGAGAATTGGGACCATGCCCCCATTTGGTTTCAAATGGAGTCTCCATGCATTCACAGGGGTCTTCATCGTTGTCTGTTAGCTTGACTAGAATACCAATGAAGGCACCAACAAAAGCTATCATGAAAGGATGGGCATCAGAGTTGAACTGACAACAAGCCTACCATACGTATTATACGATAGCTTGTAATAGTATTAAGGACACGGTCTGCTTTGCATGGCTTGGATAGAAACTGAAGGGAGAATGGGATCAAAGTCTACAAACCAATGCCCTAGCTCCTATACTGCACTGCATTTAAAAGGTTTGGAATTTGACACTACCATTACAAAAATGAATAAATGCACCAAAATCCCTTGCTGACACTTTTGACATGTCTTCTCGTATGAAAACAGAATGCATTGCAACAACAATTCACGTGTTTGGCACTATTTCATTTTGACGTCTCATTCTAAAATAGTGAATACAAACCTCAAACTGTTTTTCCATTCTAGCTTTGCTGTCTGCATGTGTGTGGCCCAAATAAATTAAGTTATTCTAGTAAGGAATATCTTAGATGATCAGTTTTACACTTAAAATAAGTCCCACTGCTCATTATGGATACTACTCTTACGTAATGGAGATGACTCTTGCGAACCTCTGTGGTTTTATGTGTGTGTGTACATTGCTGCACGATGATCATCAACCATACAAACAAACAAGCATTTCTCATTGAAAATAGGAAGTACAGCAAAGAACCACAAGGCTGGGGGGAGAAACTACAGCTTCTGGTCCATCCAGATTGGTTATAGTGGCGCAGCCAACGGTTGCTCAATTGTAACGTTTGATGGCTGCCTAGGAGAGATCAGACTCTGGCTTTAGTCCAAAAACAAGAGATGAACCGTGTACAGAGGGCCAGCTGCCGCTGCTAGTACAGGTCCCTTGGCCCAGTTGTGTGACAATGGCCCAAAGGAAATGGTTGGTTTGAGTAGGGAAAACGCGTCTACTGGACATGACCCTGGGCTTAACTTTACCTTGATTGTACCAATCACACATCTTTCATAAGACCACAGTCAGGATTTGACAGACAGGTAGACAAGATGGCAGTACTTCTCCTGGCAAAACAAGGATTCCATAGCTCTATAATTCCCTTATCTGTGGAGATGACAAGAGACTTTGCCTCACGTACAAAAACGAGACATACAAGGGACCATTGTAGCTATAGTGAACATAACATGTAGAGCGGATGTGTCTTTCTGAACTAGGATGATATGGGAGAAAGTCATACCGTAAGTACCGACAAATTGGGAGACCGTCGGGAGAACTACCGTGACAACTTCCTCAGACAAACACGTCTCTTAAGTTAGTTTGCGTTTCTCAGTTTAAATAAGATGGGGGATTTCAGAACCACAATAAGGCGTTTTTTTTCTCTTCTCTCTTTTCCATTGTCATAGCCGTTTGCTTCGTTTCACCGGTGTCAATACCAAGACAGACGTGGTACAGTATAGTTAGTGGAAGATCGGAGCAGACAAGATGGGGAGGTGTCTCCTCAGCGAGGTTGAGAGAAGACCTGGAGGAGGTCCTTCGGAGGTGGAGAAGGAGGAGGTGGTAGTGATAATGTTTATGTTTGAACAGACAAGGGCTTTGTCTCACCGTCTCCCTTCTCCTCCACTCCTCTTTCCCGTTCCTCTTCCTCTTCCGTGTGCTGCTCCAGCTCTTCGCGGGTGATCATCTCAAAGTCGTTTCCGTTGCTGTGCTGCGAGCCCTCATCCTCCCGCCGGTCGCTGTCCGTGTCTGAGTGGCGCTCAGTCGCCTCGCCTTCTTCCGTCCCTTTCGGCGCTGTGCCCTCAGCTTCTTCTCCTTCCACCTCTCCTTCACCTTCTGCTTCCTCCTCTTCCTCCCCACCGTCAACCTTCTCCTCGCTGTCTGACTTCTGGGCCTTGGCCGCGTCTGCATCGGGGGTCTTGTCCGGGCTCTTCTTGCTGTAGTCCCGTGGGCCCTTGTACTCGTGCGTGTAGAGCGGGCGGAAGGAGTCGATGAAGCCCACGTCGGCAGTCAGGTTGGGCAGGAACCAGAAGTGGTGGCGTCCGCCCGTCACCAGCCAGATGATCAGGAACAGGATGCAGCGAGCTGATGGGAGACAAACAAAAACAAGGTGACATCATCAACTTATGTGCTTTGTTACCAGTTTTGACTAAAGACTAGGGTAAACAAGTGGTAAACATACCAGAGCTGGGTTTCCCAAAAGCATCTTAAGGCTAAGTTCATCCCAAGAACCTTCATAGGTGCTTCATCCCAAGAACCTTCATAGGTGCATCGTTAAATCTCTGAGCTGTTTCCCATCAGTTACTCAAGTTGCACTAAAACTCTCGTTATTTACCGACTGCCTCAGACCACTCGTACAACAGCTAAGGGAGTCGTTAGATAATTTGCCTACATTCACAGAAGCCCTCCGCTAAACAGAATCAAGATGTTTATGTCTTTTTGTGACTGCCGATAACTTTAGAACGATATACAGTACCAGTCAAAACTTTGGACACACCTACTCATTCCAGGGTTTTTCTTTATTTTTACTATTTTCTACATTGTAGAATAATAGTGAAGACATCAAAACTATGAAATAATATATGGAATCATGTAACCAAAAAAAGTGTTAAACAAATCAAAATATATTTGAGATTTTAGATTCTTCAAAGTAGCCACCCTTTGCCTTGATGACAGCTTTGCACACTCTTGGCATTCTCTCAACCAGCTTCATGAGGTAGTCACCTGGAATGCATTTCAATTAACAGGTGTGCCTTGTTAAAAGTTAATTTGTGGAATTTCTTTCCTTCTTAATGCATTTGAGCCAATCAGTTGTGTTGTGACAAGGTAGGGGTGGTATACCGAAGATAGCCCTATTTGGTAAAAGACCAAGTCTATATTATGGCAAGAACAGCTCAAATAAGCAAAGAGAAACAACAGTCCATCATTATTTTAAGACATGAAGGTCAGTCAATCCGGAACATTTCAAGAACTTTGAAAGTTTCTTCAAGTGCAGTCGCAAAAACCATCAAGCACTATGATGAAACTGGCTCTCATGAGGACCGCCACAGGAAAGGAAGACCCAGAGTTACCTAATCTGCAGAGGATAAGTTCATTAGAGTTACCAGCCTCAGAAATCGGCAATTAACTTCAACTCAGATTGCAGCCAAAATAAATGCTTCACAGAGTTCAAGTAACAGACATCTCAACATCAACTGTTCAGAGGAGACTGTAAAATCAGGCCTTCATGGTTGAATTGCTGCAAAGAAACCATTACTAAAGGACACCAATAATAAGAAGACTTGCTTGGGCCAAGAAACACGAGCAATAGACATTAGACCAGTGGAAATCTGTCCTTTGGTCTGATGAGTCCAAATTTGAGATTTTTGGTTCTAACCGCTGTTTCTTTGTGAGACGCAGAGTAGGTGAACGGATGATCTCTGCATGTGTGGTTCCCACCGTGAAGCATGGAGGTGGTGGTGTGATGGTGCTTTGCTGGTGACACTGTCTGTGATTTATTTAGAATTCAAGGCACACTTAACCAGCATGGCTACCACAGCGATACACCATCCCATCCGGTTTGCGCTTAGTGGGACTATCATTTGTTTTTCAACAGGACAATGACTCAAAACACACCTCCAGGCGGTGTAAGGGCTATTTGACCAAGAAGGAGAGTGATGAGTGCTACATTAGATGACCTGGCCTCCACAATCACCCGACTCTCAACCCAATTGAGATGGTTTGGGATGAGTTGGACCGCAGAGTGAAGGAAAAGCAGCCAACAAGTGCTCAGCATACGTGGAAACTCCTTCAAGACTGTTGGAAAAGCATTCCAGGTGGCTACTTTGAAGAATAAAATAAAATATATTTTGATTTGTTTAACACTTTTTTCGTTACTATATGATTCCATGTGTTCTTTCATAGTTGATGTCTTCACTATTATTCAGAGGAGTTTGACTTTAAACCGTTTTTATAGTTTCATTATGTCCAAATTGTGTGTTTAAAAAAGATCCTAATTGAACATTGTGTGAATATTGTATGTATATTACTGTAAATATTGATTGCATTCCTTGTATATGATCATATATTTTGATACATTGAATGTTAATATTGTGAACCTATGTTATACATTTTTTACCTCCTGTTTCAGGAAGTAATGTCACTGAGTACTGCCCATATATATGACCTTCCACCCCCACCTGGGATATGGCTGCCTGATGATGACCTAGGGGTCGAAATGTTGTTATAAATAGATATCACCTGGGAGCGTGAGCAGCAGTGTGCTGCGTTTTCTTTTCTGTTTTTCATGAATTTGCCTACAACTCCAGCACCGGCGGACAGTACCTGGATGTGTTCTTCAGCTTTTGATCACTATTATTCTACAATGTAGAAAATACTAAAAATAAAGAAAAACCCTTGAATGAGTAAGTGTGTCCAAACTTTTGACTGGTACTGTATATCTATATATATCACGTGTAACGTGCACAATGATGTGCCAAATCTTTATTATAGGGTAAGCATTAGAATAAGCAGCCTCAAAATTAGTAGATAAAAAAAAAACAGTAGATACACTATATGACCAAAAGTATGTGGACACCTGCTTGTCAAACAACTAATTCCAAATTCATGGGCATTAATATGGAGTTGGTCCCCCTTTTGCTGCTATAACAGCCTCCACTCTTCTGGGAAGGCTTTCCACATGTTGGAACATTGCTGCGGGGACTTGCTTCCATTCAGTCACAAGCATTAGTGAGGTCGGGCACTGATGTTGGGCAATTAGGCCTGGCTTGCAGTCAGCGTTCCAAATCATCCCAAAGGTGTTCGATGGGGTTGAGGTCAGGGCCCTGTGCAAGCCAGTCAAGTTCTTCCACACTGATCAACAAACCATTTCTGTGTGGACCTCGCTTTGTGCACGGGGGCATTGTCATGCTGAAACAGGAAAGGGCTTTCCCCAAACTGTTGCCACAAAGTTGGAAGCACAGAATCGTTTAGAATGTCATTGTATGCTATAGTGTTAAGATCTCCCTTCACTGGAACTAAGGGCCCTTGGCACTATGTATTGAGGCAGGTGGCATTCTCCTGGTATCCGCCAAACCCAGATTCGTCCGTCAGACTGCCAGATGGTGAAGCGTGATTCATCCCTCTAGAGAACGCATTTCCACTGCTCCAGAGTCCAATGGTGGCGAGCTTTACACCACTCTAGCCGATGCTTGGCATTGCGTATAGTGATCTTAGGCTTATGTGCGGCTGGGCTGCTCGGCCATGGAAACACATTTCATGAAGCTCCCGACGAACAGTTATTGTGCCGACGTTGCTTCGAGGCATTTTGGAACTCGGTAGTGAGTGTTGCAACGGAGGACAAATTATCTTTACACGCTACAGCACTCGCCGGTCCCTTTCTGTGAGCTTGTGTGGCATTCTATGACGGTGCCACGTTGAAAGTCACTGGGCCCTTCAGTAAGGCCATTCTACTGCCAATGTTTGTCTATGGAGATTGCATGGATGTGTGCTCGATTTTACACCTGTCAGCAACAGGTATGGCTAAAATAGCTGAATCCACTAATTTGAAGGGGTGTCCACATACTTTTGTTTATGTACTGTAAATACAGTGCCTTCAGAAAGTATACACTCTTTGACGTGTTCCACATTGTTGTTACAGTTGTTACAGCCTGAATTTAAAATTGATTAAATAGCGATTTTTTATCATTGGCCTACACACTACCCCATAATGTCAAAGTGAAATTAATAAAACATTTAAAAATGTATGCACTTACTAACTGTAAGTCGCTCTGGATAAGAACGTCTGCTAAATGACTAAAATGTAAATGTAAAGCTGAAATGTCTTAAGTATAAGTATTCATCACCTTTGTTATGGCAAGCCTAAATAACTTTAGGAGTAGAAATATGCTTAACAAAACACATAATAACTTGCATGGACTCCCTGTGTGCAATAACAGGGTTTAACAAATTTTTTTAATGACTACCTCATCTCTGTACAATTATCTGTAAGGTCCCTCAGTCGAGCAGAGAATTTCAAACACAGATTCAACCACAAAGACCAGGGAGGTTTTTTAATGCCTCGCAAAGAAGGGCACCTATTGGTAAAAATAAAAAAGCAAACATTGAATGTTCCTTTGAGCATGGTGAAGTTATTAATTACACTTTGGATGGTGTATCAATACCCCCAGTCACTACAAAGATACAGGCGTCATCCTAACTCAGTTGCCGAAGAGGTAGGAAACAGGGGATTTCACCATGAGGCCAATGGTGACTTTAAAACAGTTAGAGTGTAATGGCTGTGATAGGAGAAAACTGAGGATGGATCAACAACATTCTAGTTACTCCACAATACTAACCTAATTGACAGTGAAAAGAAGGAAGCCTGTACAGAATACAAATATTCCAAAACATGCATCCTAAAGCACTAAAGTAATACTGCAAAAAATGTGGCAAGGCAATTAACTTTTTGTCCTGAATACGAAGTGTTCTGTTTGGGGCAAATCCAATACAACATATTACCAAGCACCACTCTCCATATTTTCAAGCATAGTGGTGGCTGCATCATGTTATGGGTATGCTTGTAATCGTTACGGACTGGGGAGTTTTTCAGGATAAAAAAGAAACGGAATGGAGCCAAGCACAGGCAAAATCCTAGAGGAAAACCTGGTTCAGTCTGCTTTCCACCAGACACTGGGAGACAAATTCACCTTTCAGCAGGACAATAACCTATAACACAAGGCCAAATCTACACTGGAGTTGCTTACCAAGAAGACAGTGAATGTGGCCGAGATACAGTTTTGACTTAAATCTATGGCAAAACCTGAAAATGGTTGTCTAGCAACAACCAATGACAGAGCTTGAAGAATTTTGAAAATAATAAAATGGGCAAATATTGTACAATCCAGGTCTGCAAAGCTCTTCGAGACTTACACAGAAAGACTCACAGCTGTAATCGCTGCCAAAGGTGATTCTAACATGTATTGACTCGGGGGTGTGAACACTTATGTAAATAAGGCATTTCATTTTCAATACATTTGCAAAACAATTCTAAAGACATGTTTTCACTTTGCCATTATGGGGTATTGTGTGTAGATGGGTGAGAAATCAATTTGTAACAACAAAATGAGGAATACTGTACGTAATGGAATGTTGAGTCAAGTATATATATATATATATTTTTTTTTTCCTCTTGGTTGAGTTTGAAACATTAACTGTGAATGATCATTTAGACCGATATGATTATCTCTCTTTCATTTCTGCAAAGTAGTTAAACCGGTGTCAGTTTCACTAAGTTCCATTGTGCCCAGATCAACTATTAAAAAAGGGTAAAGAACAGAACTTCAACTTTTTATTGGAATTTAATTTAAGGGTTGGATAGATGTATTAGCAATATGGTGATTTATTCTACCTAGCATATTAGGAGGACAAGTTGGAAGCACCATATTGATTTAAAACTATCCAATCTCTTCACAAGTGTCTATGGCAGGGATAGGCAACTTTGATGGGGGTGGGGGCTCATTGTCTCGCGGGTTTGCTTACGCACATTCATACCCACACATGCAGTCAGAGTCGGCCCTAGCCTTTTGGGGGCCCTAAGCGGAATGGTGTTCAATAAAGGCTGGAACGAAAACCTGCAGACACTCGGCCCTCCGTGGAATGAGTTTGACACATTTGCCTTAGGTAGCCTCCTCACAATGTTACTAATCCTGGCACTCATTCTGAATGCAAGTTGCAGGTGATTTTTTTGTTCAACTGTTGGATATCCTAACTCCGGCTGGATTCCAATAGGAATTGCACATCACTTTGCAAGCCAGCATAATGTGACTTGCAGGTAGGGTTCCAAAATTGGGGTTTCTTTCCCAAAATTCCCAGGTTCTCCAGAAATTCTGTGTGGAAGTTTCCTGGAAAATCTTGGAATTTTGGGAAGGTCACTGGAATTTTGCAACCCTGATGTGGCTTGAGGTATGAACTGGGGTACGTACAATTATGCACTTATAACTAAAAAAGGTACAAAGGATGACCTTACAGGGTACCACAGGTGATAAGTGTTTGTACCCCTTTAGGAACAAATATAATCCTGAAACTCATGGTTTACAGGCCACATCAGGCCTGCAAGTTATGTAGGTGATGTGTAATTCCTATTGGAGTGTGGGGATATCCAACTTTTGTCATTTTTTTAATCACCCGCAACCAGTATTCAGAATGAATGCCAGGGCGGCAGGTAGCTTAGTGGGTAAGAGCGTTGTGCCAGTAACCGAAAGGTCGCTGGTTCTAATCCCCGAGCCGACTAGGTGAAAAATCTGTCGATGTGCCCTTAAGCAAGGCACTTAACCCTAATTGCTCCTGTAAGTCGCTCTGGATAAGAGCATCTGCTAAATGACTAAAATGTAAAAAATGTAAATGGTTGGGAAGACTAAGCTATGAGACAACCTAAAGCATCTAAACTGGAACAACCATTTCAGTAACGGGTGCAATAAGTCCAAGTAACATATTGGAATAGTTTCAAAAATGTTTGCAATTTATATTTGAGTGGCATAAAATTAATTAATCAATCAACAAACAGATAATGAAACAATTTTTAAAAACCTACCTGCAATAGAGCTTTCTGGGAAATATGATAATGATGGGTGTGGTTTTGGTTCAAAGTGAAGTATGATATTATGTAAAAAAAAAAAAAAAAAAAGAATTATGATAACATATTTGCTTAGGATCTCACTTGGTGACGTCCATAGGACACAATAAATTGATGAATGCAACAACCATGTCTGTGTCACCAACAAATACAGTCATGAGTGGTAGCTCTACAATTTACTCGAAAGGCAAGGCACTCTGGTAAATATTTGAATAAGGCTTTCCACTAATCAGTGTATTAATTTAACACTCTTCCAGTGTCTATATGGGTCCACATACTCATCACTTTCAATGTTGATTTAACACTTCATTGTTTTTTGTGGGGTAATTGAGTGACTGACATAACAAGAGAAACTGCTGATGCAGACGGCGTGTTTTCTTTCAGCCACTTACCAACAGCTAACAGCAGTATACTGGCCACGAAACAGCCTGCTGCCACGCTCAAATAGTACACACCCACACGCATCTCAGCCGGCCACAGTGGGAAAAGAGTGGCCGCTATCACTGCAATTACTGTAAACACAGAAACAGACACGCCTTAGTACAGCGGAAAATAATCAGTCTTATTCTCTTCTTTACCAAATCAGTTGTAGTTCAGTCATTTGTGTTGAAAATGTCATATTCTAGGTAATTATCACAATGCCACTCACCCAGAATCAGTCCCATGGCAAATGATTTAAAATGGACTGGATCATAGATCCAAACAAACACCTGGAAAGTGGAGTAAATGTCAATTTTACATTTCACCTTAAATCTTTTTTTATTTGGCTAAATCAGTCAATTGCTGAATTCACAGCGATTCACTGTTTTCCCATATAACATGGTGAAGTCAGTGCAACTCACATTGAACCGTCTGCCATCATATGAAAAAAAGCTAGCCTAGCAAACTGACGCCACAAAGAATTTGGGTCTCGTCATGACACGTCATGGAGAATTTGTCTCGTAAAGTGCACCCTCAGTTATTTTGTGAAATAACCTTTTCTTGGAATTCTCTCAAATGCCACAGGGAAACACGAACACCAAGGTGCTGAATTCATGTACATACGAAAACGCTCAAACTGTACACTTTCTTTCAAAGCGGATATTACAAATCCCTCTGACTAAAGAGGTACTCATCTACATGTCAACTGAAACATGCTCACTTTTCCAGAAATTCCTGCTTTCATATTTCCCTATCCTAATCTTTGGAGAGTTGGAGCCTGTTTTCCCAGGTTTCCCTGTGTTCCAACTCACCTCATTCCCATCCAGGAAGAGCTGGTCCTCATGAGGCTCCAGTTTAAACTTCTTCTTTGCGTCTTTTTTCTTCTTTGGCATTTCGGGGCTATCGTCCTGAACAAAAAGACACAGCATGATCAGACCCATGGCCTTTATAGAAATATGATTGATCTATGTCTATGACGAGACTGCTTCAGTGGTCTAAGATGTATCAACTACAACATGCTTATGGCCTACATATTCACCCAATTGACTTACACTCCTCTCCTTCTTTGCGTCTGAAGCCTCGGCATCCTTGGAATCCTTCTTCTTCCCCTTCTTCTCCTCCTCCTTGCCGCTGTCGCCCTTAGCCTTTTCTTTCTCTTTTTCTTTCTTGATGTCCTTCTCGGGCTTCTTCTTCATGACTTTCAGAGCGCGGTGGAAGAACTGCTTCTTCAGCAGCCTGAACAAGGAGAGGAGAAACAGTGTGGTAGATAGTTACTCTAGTGTGTAGGGTGGTAGTTAGTCTAGTGCAGTGTTAGGGAAGTCAGTGAAGGGTGGTAGTTAACAGTAAATAGTCTAGTGTATAGGCATAATGTGGTGTAGCGTGGTAGTGATATTAGTTAGTCTAGTGTGGTATGTTGTTGAAGGTAAGTGGGTCCCACCTATTGCAGTAGTCCACCACAGAGTCTCTTGTGGTGAATACAGCCTCCTCTCCCTTCTTGGCCTTGGCCCACTTGGAGTCCAGCAGACAGTCCACTGCCTTGGAGGCTGACATGGGGAAACCGGCAACATGTTCAAAGATACAGACAAGACCAGGAGATACTGTGTGTTGAAACTCAATGGCTATCATACTGTGTCAACAGCTGATGTGTGGGGCCAGTTCTCAGAAGGCTCAATCCAGATCAAAATGATCCTTTGTTGTCTCAATTCTGTTTTTAAAGAAACTGTGATGAAATATTCCAAACAATTGTTATGGTCTCATAGCCACTATCTTGGTTGTAGCATGTGATGTGGTATATAGAGCTTTGGTCTAGTTTTGTCTTCAAGTCTCATCCAAAAGCAAGGGGGACATAGGCTCACTTAAAACAATTATTTTGTTCTGGGTGAACATTCTGAAATCCTGGCCCCTGAGGATATGATGTGTACAAAAGCTACTCTCCAACAGACACAGAAGCACACACAACAGACATTTAACCCATGACTGTGCAAACAACATTTACTGACACTGTTGAGAGAGCAGCTCTGCTATGGTGCTAACATTGAAAAGGAACAAAAAACGTGATAGGATATCAGTCCTTGCCCGAAACAGGTAACCCTCTTTGAGTCTGGTATTGATCCACATCGTCATTCAAGACAGACCAAATGGCACAGTTCTAAGCAATCTTGTATCTATACCATTTCAAGCCAATCCCATGGCTATTTTCATATACACTGAGTGTACAAAACATTAGGAACACCTTCCTAATATTGAGTTGCACCCCCTTTTGCCCTCAGAACAGCCTCAATTCATTGGGGCATGGACTACAAGGTGTCGAAAGTGTTCCACAGGGATGCTGGCCCATGTTGATGCCAATGCTTGCCACAGTTGCGTCAAGTTGGCTGGATGTCCTTTGGGTGGTGGACCATTTGTGATAAACAGGAGAAACTTTTGAGGGTGAAAAGCCCAGCAGCGGTGCAGTTCTTGACTCTTTGTACTGAGCTAAATTAACTCAACTGATAACTAAACCAACCCGCCCCAACTTAAAACACCCTGAAAAATCTACTATTTTGGATATCATTCTGACAAACACCCCTTATAAGTATACAGCCAACGGAATCTTTGCTAACAAGATCAGTGACCATTGTCCCATTGCCTGAATTAGAGATACTAAGCTATCTAAATCGTGTCCATGCATTATTACAAAGACTTTTCAATGAGCAACATTTCCTGTATGACCTGGTTGGGAGGGTGTGTCGTCCTCTATCTCCGATTCGGATCAGGCCCTTAAATGTTTTACCTCTCTGTTTAACTCTGTTGCAGATAAGCATGCCCCATATAAGAGATTAAGGGTAAAAGACGGATATAACCCTTGGTTCACGCATGAATGGTCGGAAAGATTTCATGAAAGAAACCTAGCTTGGGCTAAGACTAGATTGACTGATTCTACCTCCTTCAGACATTCGAGAAATGTGTCTTACTCTGGTTAGAAAAGAAAAGTCAACATACTTCTTAAATTCTGGAAAGTAGTAAAATCTTTTTGGGGGAAACCTGCCCCCTCCCCACAGCAGGTTATGACAGCCTCTGGTCCCATAACAGACAAAAATGATATTTGTGGTGCTTTAAATAACAATTTTACCTCAGCTGGCCATCTATTTGAAAGAATGGTTTCTGAAAATATCTCAAGTTCCACTAGAAGGAGTCCTTTATTAATCTCTAAACAGATAGCTGAGACAATGCACTCTATTTCATTTGAACCATTTTATGTCAATGATGTATTAAGTGCCTTGAAAAAAATGTATCTAAGAAAAATCCACTGGAGCTGATTCGCTTGACACTTTCTACTGCAGCTTTCTGACCCCCTCACTGTAGAACCTTTGACCCACATTTTTTAATTTAACAATTGCTTCTGGTGATATCCCTAAGATCAGGAAGGGGACACATGTCCACCCCCTTTACAAAAGGTGGAGAGCCTTTTGACCTAGATAACTACGACCCAATTTCTAAAATATCTTGCAAAAATATTGGAATCCCTTGCAAACTCTCAGTTAAGAACTTTAACTTCAAATTATATTCTTAATGTCTGATTTTAGACCTGGACATAGCACTGTTTCAGTCTTAAATGACATTAAATTGCTTAGATCATAGGAATCACTATGTTGCCATATTTGTAGACCTATCCAATGCCTTCGATACTGTCGACCATCCCCTACTCATTAAAAGGTTGTCTGAAATGGGACTCAACCAGGTGTCTTGCAAGTGGTTTGGGAACTATCTGTCAGACAACACACGATATTACTAAAGGTGTCCCGCAGGGGTCGATTCTACTATTTACTATTTATATACTGCTCAAAAAAAATAAAGGGAACACTAAAATAACACATCCTAGATCTGAATGAATGAAATAATCTTATTAAATACTTTTTTCTTTACATAGTTGAATGTGCGGACAACAAAATCACACAAAAATTAATCAATGGAAATCAAATGTATCAACCCATGGAGGTCTGGATTTGGAGTCACCCTCAAAATAAATTAAAGTGGAAAACCACACTACAGGCTGAGCCAACTTTGATGTAATGTCCTTAAAACAAGTCAAAATGAGGCTCAGTAGTGTGTGTGTGGCCTCCACGTGCCTGTATGACCTCCCTACAACGCCTGGGCATGCTCCTGATGAGGTGGCGGATGGTCTCCTGAGGGATCTCCTCCCAGACCTGGACTAAAGCATCCGCCAACTCCTGGACAGTCTGTGGTGCAACGTGGCGTTGGTGGATGGAGCGAGACATGATGTCCCAGATGTGCTCAATTGGATTCAGGTCTGGGGAACGGGCGGGCCAGTCCATAGCATCAATGCCTTCCTCTTGCAGGAACTGCTGACACACTCCAGCCACATGAGGTCTAGCATTGTCTTGCATTAGGAGGAACCCAGGGCCAACCGCACCAGCATATGGTCTCACAAGGGGTCTGAGGATCTCATCTCGGTACCTAATGGCAGTCAGGCTACCTCTGGCGAGCACATGGAGGGCTGTGCGGCCCCCCCAAAGAAATGCCACCCACACCATGACTGACCCACCGCCAAACCGGTCATGCTGGAGGATGTTGCAGGCAGCAGAACGTTCTCCACGGCGTCTCCAGACTCTGTCACGTCTGTCACATGTGCTCAGTGTGAACCTGCTTTCATCTGTGAAGAGCACAGGGCGCCAGTGGCGAATTTGCCAATCTTGGTGTTCTCTGGAAAATGCCAAACGTCCTGCACGGTGTTGGGCTGTAAGCACAACCCCCACCTGTGGACGTCGGGCCCTCTTACCACCCTCATGGAGTCTGTTTCTGACCGTTTGAGCAGACACATGCACATTTGTGGCCTGCTGGAGGTCATTTTGCAGGGCTCTGGCAGTGCTCCTCCTGCTCCTCCTTGCACAAAGGCGGAGGTAGCAGTCCTGCTGCTGGGTTGTTGCCCTCCTAGGGCCTCCTCCACGTCTCCTGATGTACTGGCCTGTCTCCTGGTAGCGCCTCCATGCTCTGGACACTACGCTGACAGACACAGCAAACCTTCTTGCCACAGCTCGCATTGATGTGCCATCCTGGATGAGCTGCACTACCTGAGCCACTTGTGTGGGTTGTAGACTCCGTCTCATGCTACCACTAGAGTGAAAGCACCGCCAGCATTCAAAAGTGACCAAAACATCAGCCAGGAAGTATAGGAACTGAGAAGTGGTCTGTGGTCACCACCTGCAAAACCAGTCCTTTATTGGGGGTGTCTTGCTAATTGCCTATCATTTCCACCTGTTGTCTATTCCATTTGCACAACAGCATGTGACATTTGTCAATCAGTGTTGCTTCCTAAGCGGACAGTTTGATTTCACAGAAGTGTGATTGACTTGGAGTTACATTGTGTTGTTTAAGTGTTCCCTTTATTCTTTTGAGCAGTGTATAAATAATATTGGTCTATCTGCAAAAATTTGTAACATTCATCTGTATGCAGATGACATGTATGTACGCTATTGCCCCTACGGCTGACCAGGCTATGTTGGAGCTGCAATCTGATTTTGTCTCCTTGCAGAAAGCCCTTGTTGATTTAAAATTGGTACTTAATGCGGGAAATAATTAAAGTATGCGGTTTTCTAATTCTCTTATAAATATTTTAGATGGCTTATCCATTTATGCATTGGATGGTTCTTTCATCGAGCAGGTTCCGCCTATAAATATCTGGGCTTTTGAATTAACAATAATTTGACGTTTAAAAAAACATGAATGAACTAGTTAAGATGAGATTTAAAAGTAGGCTTCTTTTATAGAAATAGATCATGCCTCTCCCTAAATAGGAGGAACCAGATTGACCAAAATTATGTGGACCCCTGCTCGTCGAACATCTCATTCCAAAATCATGGGCATTAATATGGAGTTGGTCCCCACTTTGCTGCTATTACAGCCTCCACTCGTCTGGGAAGGCTTTCCACTAGACGTTGGAACATTGCTTCGGGGACTTGCTTCCATTCAGCCATGAGCATTAGTGAGGTTGGGCACTGATGTTTGGCGATTAGGCATGGCTCGCAATCGGCGTTCCAATTCATCCCAAAGGCGTTTGATGGGGTTGAGGTCAGGGCTCTGTGCAGGCCAGTCAAGTTCTTCCACACTGATCGACAAACCATTTCTGTATGGACATCACTTTGTGCACATTGCAGCTTATGTGTGGCTGCTCAGCCAAGGAAACCCATTTCATGAAGCTCCCAACGAACAGTTCTTGTGCTGACGTTGCTTCCAGAGGCAGCTTGGAACTCTGCAGTGAGTGTTGCATTGTCATGCTGGAACAGGAAAGGGCCTTACCCAAACGGTTGCCACAAAGTTGGAAGCACAGAATCATCTAGAATGTAATTGTCTGCTGTAGCGTTAAGATTTCCCTTAATTGGAACTAAGGGCCCTAGCCCGAACCATGAAAAACAGCCCCAGACCATTATTCCTCCTCCACCAAACTTTACAGTTAGCACTATGCATTGGGGAAGGTAGCATTCTCCTGGCATCCGCCAAACCCAGATTAGTACGTCGGACTGCCAGATGGTGAAGTGTGATTCATCACTCCA